AAACCGTAAACACCTTCGTTTGCACGCCGTCAAACTGGAATAGTTTAAACATCACAGAGGTGCGCGCGTGGCGTGGCGGTCACAGGCCACGTGCGCGTGGCGGTCGTGTGTGACCGATAGCGGTCACAACTGTGCGTACGGCGGACAGCTGAGACCGCACACAGACATACGCTGGGCGGGGCTCGTCTCATCGTTGGTGTATTTGGCAATGAGCCCCTCATGGACTGCGACGGAAGGTCTGCAGCGTGGCAGGACATGAGAAAAGATGCAAATTCTCAATGCAGCGTGGGCCAGCCGATTATGTGGGGTACCATGACGCCTCTAATGACCTGAGCGGGCCGACCGTTCGCTTCCCAACTATGTCTGAAAGGGCTGCACATGGAGAGGTCAGCTCAAAATCCCAACGTCACCAGGCGTGACCTGGCCGCCTGACCCCTGCCAGCTCTCCGAGAGACGTGATGTGAAAAGCGGGACAGGAGCTGAGAACCCGGAAGAACATGATTGTGCACATGCTGTTGGTAAGATGATTGGCATTGCTAGTTCGTGAGCTAAACACGATGGTGGAAGGGATGAGGATCAACGGACACCGCGAAAAATACCGCAAACTGCTCCACTGCACTTCACTGCCCTCTACCTCCGTCGTATGAGGCGAAACAAACGTTGCTCCTTCGCACCATTGCGTTTGGGAAGTACGAATGATATGGCATTCGGCACCATGTGATGCGAATGCGCAGTACAAAACCACCAGTAATGCTACTAAGCTATGCTAGTGCAGTCTGATTCGTAGATGACTTGCAGGTTAGGGAAATACCCCGATAGTCAAACGTGTCGGCACGTGCAGATGTCAGTTGCATTGCTCAACTCCTGAAGGGCTGGCTGGCATTGTTTTGAGGCCGTTTGTTGGCCAAACGAATTATGCATCAGGGACAATGCGACTCGGAAGTTGTTTCATTCAATTAATGCAGAGTTGTTCATGTGGAGTCAGATCAATAACAAGATATGTTTGCTTCTTCGTTTTTAGTCACGTAATGAACATTGGGTCATTTTAGGGGTCGCTTAGGTATGACAAAAGAAAAATGTGTCATGAGAATTGAGCGTTTACGCATCCATTTTCTTTCTCTGTCGCCACCGTTACTTCCAAATGCCCAGTGACCGTTGCTTTTTTCATCAGACAGCCTCCTCACTGCTTTCAGCCACTCCGCTTTACGTAATTGAACCACCATTCAGATTCTTATAGCTGCATCGCTGACCTTTCAAAGTTATGGTAATGCTGCTGCAGGGGTTCTCAAACTTGTTAACGGCCCCTGCTCCTCGTCATGCTACGTTGAGCGATACCTTTAAGATGGATTGCACATCCATCATACGCATTGCCAACAATGGACGCGGCACCACTGAGTCTAAAAATGCCTATGCATTTTCGCGGTACGTTTATCTTTGGTTTGGTTTCGCTTGCATTGGTAGTTGTTTATGAAGTTGAACCAATCAGAATGGAATCCAGCAGAATCGCCGCAAGCGTGAAAAGAGTTTTTGGTGACATGTTTAAACTCCAATCAAATTTTACATTCCATTGCACTTTAATCAAATTCCAGCTGAGGGGTGTTGAAGTTGTTGTTTTTTTAAGAAGAGCTGTGGAGTCACTTTCCGACACCTCTTTTGTATGTATGTGCCCCCGCAGATGTACGCTCCTCAGGTTTCTGCCTGAAGCCTGTCAGAAACATGGCCTTCCGTTAGATGCCGACAAAGTAACGCTTACACAGAAGTGTGGGGGGGGGGGGGGATTACGCCCATTACTGGGGAGATTTGTTGCTCCCTTGGAGAATTTCTCTCCCTCCTCAGTTAGCATGTTAAAATTTTCCATACCCGATGACAGGAGCTATATATCCTGTGACTGGAGCGCACGTGTTCTACAGAATTTTGAACCTAGTTTTGGGACATTTTTTGAACGTCGGTGGCGCTCTTTGAGCGCTCAGGTTACCCTCCAGTATTGGAAACTTTTGCTCCATTAGCCAATCTCCTTCCCCGCGGAAACGGTTCTGTCAGGGGCACCCTGCGTACCATCGGGACTTCTCTCCAGCTGTTGGGACACCCTTCTGTTAGAGAGAATTTCGTTCTCGTTCTCGGGACATGGACTACAGGCATTAAATAAATTTTCGGGGGGGGGCTTTCCTCTAGTTGGGGGCTCGGGATGTACTTTTATGCTTTAGGACATTTCTAGACTTCAGTAAGTATTTCAAGCCACATGAGTGCCCATTCAGCACACAGGGGCACCTTCTCCTCCCTTGTCCGCAAAATTTATGACACCCTTGGGTTGCGTCATATTATACACCTGTTCTGTTCTGGTCCGTGCCGAGCGCCCGTTCAGGGACGCCTCTATAAAAAAGTGTCTTCGAAGTCCTAACATCTAGGAGGCCGCACTAACTTTCCGATCAGGGGAGTGGAACACGTGTCCTAGCAGCCCCACGGACCGTTCCCGGCTTTGCCCGTGGGAAGCTGCAGGACCGCAGTCGGATGTGCTAGTGTGACCTAGATAAGGAAGCTGCTCGGCTGGCGTTTTCTTTACTGAATCCTGCGCCAATGCAACCAACTCACCTGTGCGGTTTGTATCGAAATGCTTTGAGCTACTAATTTTTGGTCAGCTATGCTTTTGCAATGTGTCATCACGTTGGATGCGTGATAAAAATGATGACTATGCTAGTGGGACCTAAAGCATCTGACAAAACAAAAAAATTGTGGCATGGTTAGCACTGTTGTCGGAAAATAAAAATGTAGATTTTCAACAAGCTTTGAATAATGCGTGTCCATTTCCGAATTTTGCGCAACATATTTCGCTAATAATGCATAATGAATGTTAAAGTGTGACACTATATATATATATATATATATATATATATATATATATATATATATATATATATGTATATGACATGTTGTTAATCCAGGCGGGTCATGACCTTGTTTTTTAATTGTGTCAATGGATCATAAAAGCATTACACCCAGCTTATTCTTGGAGGCGCGCGAATGCTTACATGGACATCGCGTTTACCTATACAGGGCATTATGCAGCCCAGTTACAATTAAAAGCGATAAGCCAATTGGCATGTGGTGGTGAATTTGTCAGTGTCCCGGGAACAGGCAAGAGTGTTACAGGTTCATGCTTGCGGGCCCAGGAGCATCCAGGGAGGGTATTGGCGAAAGTGATTAATACCTTAGTAAGACATGCACCCCGTGCAAACCGATATTAATTTTGTAAGAAGATAAGTGGCAACGCAGTGTGGAAAGTGGTAGGAAACACAGTTTTGCCCTTAACGATATGACCTGCGGGCGGTGGCAGCGGTCACGAACAATGCAGTTAGCGTGAATCTAGGCAACTTGCGTAG